TGTCCTGTTAGACAGTGGACTTGTGTCCATACTTGTCCTGTTAGACAGTGGACTTGTGTCCATACTTGTCCTGTCAGACAGTGGACTTGTGTCCGTTCTTGTCCAGTTAGACAGTGGACTTGTGTCCTTTCTTGTCCTGTTAGACAGTGGACTTGTGTCCATTCTTGTTCTGTTAGACAGTGGACTTGTGTCCATTCTTGTCCTTGTAGACCGTGGACTTGTGTCCATACTGGTCCTAACCGGTTACTTGGTGCTTTTGGGTGTTATCCTCCTGCAGGCACCAGTGACCTAAGACACAGCATTTTCTTTTTATTCTATGAAAATATGTATCTTAATGTGCCTTGGCATCGTCCTGAGCAGAGAGCCACTCCCAACTGGTGCTGCAATATTAATGTGTGGTGCTCCTCCAGTGGCACGCAGAACAACTCATCAGGAAGTGGATTCCTCTGGTTTGAGGTTGGAGCGTTCAGAAATGACATGAAGAGGACGTTGGATTGAAGATGACTGGGGTTCAGCCTCAGAGCAGAGAGGAGATGACTGCTCACATCAGCGTCTGGCTGTTTTTATAGGAGCTGACGAGAATCATCAGCCCTGCTCGGCTTTAAATTATTTCTCCAGGCCGCTGAAAATCACTGTAATAGCTTCAGTCTGGAAGAACGAGTTGATGTGAAAACACACAGTTTGATTGGAAAGTATGAATTTAAACCATTTAGTAAAAAAAATAAATCAAATGCTGTGAGTTTTAAAATATATTCAAATAAAATTGAAGCATATWAAGTTTTTTTATTTAAATCAGTTTTTAATTCACTAATTATTTTCTCGGTAATTCTCTGTTAGTATATAATTAAAATGTGAAAGAATATAAATTTTATTAAATATTAGAGCATTGGAAAGTGTGCAGTTTTACTGCAAACCTTTCCTTGGTTTACCATCAGAATAAAATAATAAAGGAAAAAATGTTTAATATTTCATTTCAAAACAACAACAACAGTGATTCATAATGTAGGGTGGGGGTGTCCCTGAACATTAGTGTGTGTGTGTGTGTATTCTTGTTTTTGTTACAGAGTGAGGACCATGATATATATTTTCAACCAGCAAAGTGAGGACATTTTCCCGGTCCTGACTGTTTTTGCAGCTCTACTAGTTGGGTGTGAATTGTTGGTTCAGGTTGGGGTTAGGAGCAGCCTAGTAATGTACTTATGTAGTGCCTTTCTATCGATCCATGATACTCAAAGCTCTTCACAATCTGTTCCCTCATTTACCCATCCACACATTCATTCAGCTGTACTAGATCTCCACAAAACTAATACAGGTAAATCAGAGAATGATCAGTGCTTTAAATCACACTCATACAATGATGGGGCACACATCAGAGGCAGTGGGGGGTTCAGTGTCTTACCCAGGGAATCACACTGCCAACTCTGTATGAATCCCTTAACCACAGCCACAGTAATGATTAGTTTTAGGAGAAAAAAATCTGGATTAAGCATAAATACAACTACAGAAATGAATGGAGATCAACAGGTCTTCAGTTTGATGCAATACAAGGATGTGTGTGTGTGTGTGTGTGTGCGGGGTGGGGGGTGTGGGGGGACTGGTATTCCCTACCTACATTGTGGGACAGTTTTTTTGGCATACACACCTATTGTGGGGACCTAATGTTACTTATGGAGACTTGAGTCTAGCTCCCATAAGGGGAAATACCATGGAGGGTCAGGGGTTAAGTTTAGGACGAAGGTGTGAATTGAGTTTAGGTTAGTTTTAGGGTCAGGTAGGTACCTTTGAGGTTAGCCTTAGAGTTCAGGGGATTCTGATGTTATCAGTCCATGAAATGGACGTTATTAGGCGTTATCAGTCCCATGCAATGGCTTCAGAATGTCCCTACTGTGCCTTCAAACTGTCCCGACAGTGCCCCTTAGTGGGTTAATATATCAATGACAATGAATGTGTAAATAACCAAAACATATTTTAATTAATTTTTTTGTCCTTACCTAGTGGCAATCCTTGCTCTTGCTCTCAGTGTCTTGCTCTTG